TAAAGTTTTTCTTCATTACCCATTCAAGCCGTCTCCAGCCATTATTAGTCTCAAAGTGGGTTCCTCGTCATCGAAGTTATTGCTCATTGTTCTGTCGCAGGTACACCTGTTCAAGGATAAAAATCATCTACGTAAAAGATTAGAGAAGTTTTCATCTCGTTTGTAAGGTAATATAAAGTGCGCGCGTTGTTTCATTTTTGGTTTCTGTATTTTGAGGGAAATATTTTATTCACACATAACCTTGAAAACCTCAAATCAAGTTTATGATTTCAGTCACAATCTTATTAACACGTAAAATGTTGTTTCTCACAGCACACGCTCTCGATCTCTAAACAACGCCATCATCTACTTCCCTTGATATGAATTAAAATAAGTGAAAAAATAGAACGTTAGGTTTTTAGATCAATACTAATATCGAATCTTAAAATTTACTTGAAAGCAGCTGTACACAACTGAATTTGTAAAATCACACGTGAATTTTACCGAATGTCGTGATCGATGGAATTCATGTCGAGAATTGAAGTTTGGTTGGCTACACCTTCAACGTCATTTGTTGTTTGCAATCTGATGCATATGCCGTACGTGATGTAAAATTATGTCTTTCTAAACATCACTTGTAGTGTCACAGCAGAGAACAATCTGTTATAACCCATTAAAAGACAGTGTCGTTTGATTTAACATGCAGAATACTCCGGAAAATGTTCTCACAGTGCGAATTGAAACTATAAATATCTAGTCAGGAATTGTCACAACACAAAAAGCATATAAAGAATCTCCCTATTTATTGCGTTACCTACTGTTAAATTCACAAGTGGATCAGCGATAAGTCTGCGGATTTACAACGCTAACATCCGAGGGTTCGATTCCCCGCGGTGGACAGAACGCATAACTTACTATGAAAGTTCTATACTGCTGGGTAAGTTTTTTTTCAAGGTCATCCAATTTGTTTAACCCACTAACCGATACACGTGGTAGAAAAAAGTTCAGTCCATTTCCCATTCTTGAACTACAGAACAAATAAGATATCTTGAAGATGTATTGATTTCAGAATTAACTTGTCCCTACTTTTCGTATGTTAGAAGTGATCTTATTGAATTATGGTAAAAAAAAAAAATTCAGCTCTTTTTTTTTTTGAGTGTTTTAAATGTGTAGCCCCCAGTGGCACAGCGGTATGTCTGTGGACTTACAACGATAGAAACCGGTGGGCAGAGCACAGATATCCCTTGTGTAGCTTTGTGCATAATTAAAAACAAACAAACAAATTAAATGTGTAACCCAACTTGTTATTAACTTAATGAATAACTGATTTTCTGAGACATACCGAAACAAGTAAACAGTCAAAAGGTATGCTGAATCTTGCAACTATGCAAAAAGTATTATTCTGCTGATACAGCTTACAGATCTATATCTTTTATTATAATTTATTGGTTATATATATATGAATACCTTTACAACTTTAATGTCACATAATTGTTGTTTCGAACGTCTAAAGTTTTATTAATTCAAAACGTTTTGTGTGTATTTATGGATCTATTTTCTTAGTTTCGACATAATCTTTTTAGCCAACCGCTTGGTCACAAATAATAAAAAAAGTCTCTTAGTTTACTTCTCAGTCTTGCACCAGTTATATACGTACATATATTTATATGTGAATGTATATAAAAACGCCCAGTACGTCAGTGACTTAGTGTTACTAGCGAAATCAGCAAGCAGAACAGTGCATAAGGGGTGTTTTTTTTTGTACTTTTCTTAATTAACAATGGCCGAAAGACAGCACATTCCCAGCACCACTTGTCTCAGAACACAGGAAACGATACGTGGGCGCCGTAGCAAGCGTTATGTAGCTTTAACTTCGGCATTACAACGAACAGGAAGCAATTAAAGTTTATTCGAGTGCCATTTGTAACGCATCTTTGTGATTCAATGGGAAAAAAAGTATAGTGGCAGTTTATGTTTACATTTAAAAATATAAATCAAACGAAGACAAATTCTATATCATAGTGGCCAATATAGGATGAAAAAATATGAAACTCGGGCCACCTTGGTATAAGTCGGGTGACTGTCCGATAGGTCTGTTTTGTTTTTGTCCTCAGGCTAAACATACTTGTTTGACGACTTCTGCCTGTTTTCGTTGGCTCGTGACGTGGGGAACAAATCCGCGTGCATGGCGCCTCACCTGCTGCAAGGGACAAGGCGTATATATGGTGTCTTTGTCTAAGCGTATTCTAGCCTGTAGTACATGTATATTCTTGTGTATTTATTTTGCCATTTAGTAAAGCAATTATTAGTAAACTCATGGAGTCATTTTCGAAATTAGTCTTTTATTCTTAAAAATGTTGTTTGCTTAAACCAACATTAAAAATATTCACAGTCGATGTGGAGTAAACATAGCTTGTGGTTCGTTGGAGAATGTTTTCACTCGGAACAACAACTATAAGGTCCTGAATACGTTTTACTCTTTGCGCCGATTTTGAAACAAAACCTAAAAGGTAAGGCAACGGTTACTTTATAACGATTGTGGTTTATACTTTTTTAATCATATTTCTTTCAAATCTTTTTAGTTTGATATTTTTTTTTCTCTTAAACAATGCTGGTAATATGTAATATTCTGTTGTCCCAATTACAGTGATGACTTGCCCAAATCTGTTATGACATAAATACTCTTATTGGCATGTGAAACCAACAATTATACAATAACACACTGGATTTGTTTTAAAGTAAAACATGTTTATTAGCACAAAATGTACTATTATAGCCAATGTTTTAACAGTGTTAAATAAGATTGAGCATTTTGATTATGTGTACATGATTGTACTTTTTTTTAGTGACAGAAGATAAATATTATTACATATATACGAGTGGCGACTTTTAATATTATGGACAACGATATTTCATCTGTTGGCTTCACCAGTACAACATGGTTGTGTTAATGACTTAGAACTATTAAATCATTAAACCAGGCAACATATAACAACGGCCTTCTTTTCTTTAGTTGATGCAAGACACAACAAGTGTAATAAGTTGTACGTAAGAATGCTCTTAATCTTTGAATAATAGAACAATCCAGATTTTCCTAAAATAATTCAACTGCACTCCACTCTTGTTGTGGGTCACATCAAAGGGGTGGAATGAGAAGTAAAATGTACTTATTCCAACCACCTTGGGCCACATTGTCTTTTTCGTGGGAGACACCTTAGTTTAGTATATCATCGTACAGTCCCATGTACTTGCAAACCTACGTGATTGAAATAAAATTTGTCGATTGATAAAAATATAAACGTATTTGAAAACATTTAAATAATTCTAACAGGCATGATTTAGAGCTTAAAAATTCTATAGCTTGTGATCAAATGATCGCAACTGCAGGATTCTTAATTCATCAACGGATGAAAGCAAAGGTAACAAATTCCTTAATGTGTACGTATGTTTTTGTTTGTTGTTTTACTTAACAAGCTCAGATCCTTAGTACTTCTTAACCTGGCTGTTGTTTCACTTTTAAATACTTATTAAGTTCAGCTGATATTTTTCAGTATTGAGAAAGTTATACTGAAACATTCACAGCGTGATTAAAAAATAATTATATTACGTGTTAAATTAAAATACATCGTTTCCACTTAAATGAATTGTATGTATTTAGATAAGTTTTCTTCATAAGCATTTCAGAGATTCGAAATATACGTACAACGTTAGAAAAAATAATAGATTTACTTCTACAAATTACGTCAATATTTAAGTAATTCTAATAGGTATGATTTGGAGACTACTTACAGTATAGTGCCTTTAATTCTCAAAGCCATTATATTCAGTAAGGTACTTAAGTTTTATTCATATGTGTATTTCAAACAGATTACTACACACTTTCCCTAAGCGATACCATAATTTGCATAAAGATAAATGAATTGCTACTGAGCAAGGTTCAAAACATGGATTTTATCCCTCCTTTATTGCTAACATGTGTAATAGTTGCTGCAGTTAAAGGCCAAACAGTTTTACAACAGAATTTACAACAGTTTTAACGTTATTTAATCGTTCGTGATTAATGGCATTCAGAGATTGGCATAGGTTTGGCAGAGCCAATTTCTGTAACCTTGGCTTTAGAGTAACACAGAGATATCGCTCCTTGACCAGCAGCATTACCTTTGACTTTAGTTTGTTGTGATCTGATAACGAGTCTTCTGGGAATCAGGCTTGGCACATAGTATTAGTTTAGTCATTGAATCCTCAAAATCCACAGGTATTGGAAAGATTGTGACCTCAGTTTTAAAAGATTCATTTAATGTTAACCCTTTTTTACTCTGATCAACCTTTTTGATATTTGACAGGATCATTTCGGGTGAAACACATCCTTGTCTTTTAAACATGTGCCAATGGGTTTATCTAACTGTGTAGAGAATATATTGACTCTGACTTTATCTTTGGATTTAAAATGATGTGTTATCTTGTCCAGTGTATTCTGTACATTATCATTAAATCAATTTAAAATGTTCGGGAGTAGGTGATGCTCAAATATCATTATCTGTTCTATTCCACAAGGCGCAAATGGAACATTACATGAATCATGGAGTTCACAAGCCATGCGTGTAAGTAGTGATCTTCGTTGATTACTAATATCTTTATAATTATAATTAGATGGCTTTCTTAGATGTGCCAAACCTAGAATATTAACCTTGGCACAGCAGAGTTCATTGCTATTCTTTATTGTTAGCACTGACTGTTTTTTCGACTGACCAGCCTTAATATTTGAAATGGTTGTCATGAAACCAAACGTATTTTTTTGGGGAATATGACAGTAGTTTGTAGATAACTTTATTGAAATTATCTAAAGACAAAACATGTATTTGAACTTTGTTATAACATCAATGAAAGGTTTCCTCAATATCCAATATTAATGTTTTGATATTGAAAAGGGGTTTAGTAACTTAAATAAACATTACTGTGTGAGTTATTGTAACGTTTGTTACAGTAATGATTGTATAATCATTCAACCCCTCAGTTGTGCTGATTGTAAAAGATTTTGTAAATCAATAGACTGTTACAACAGACACAAAATAAAAAATGGAAAACATACAGTGTTATTGTGTGACAAATTTTTCACTGTAAAACATGTTTCATCATCATTGACAGGAGAAAACGTTGTCCTGAATTTCATAGATGTGGCAAAATACATTGTGCAGGATGTAAAAAATATGTCATACCCTCTACACATCTATGCTTTCTCCAATCAATAGTCATTAAAGACTCGCTCAAGAGACTGACCAAGAAATGGGAACTCTTGAAGTGAATTACTGTGTGGGCCATGATTTTAATGGTAAAGAGGCTGCAATGCATGCGATGAGTTTTGTGAGTTCTTATTTTCTGAGAAACATAAAAATTACGCAGATATATAGCTCATAACATGAATGGATTTAAAGGTCAGTTCATTTTAAATTATCTTGTCCATCAAGGGATACAACCCAACATTATTGTTAATGGCAGAAAGATAATGGTCATGAGTGTCAAACCCCATAAAATTAGGATGATTGATAGTTACAACTTTATCTCCATGTCACTGTCATCATTCTCTGAAACTTTTGGTTTAACCGAATTACAGAAAGGATATTTTCCTAATTTGTTTAACAAGAGGTTAAAACAAAAGTACCAAGGCCCTACACCCGATATGAGCTTCTGTTCACCCAACTCCATGGCAACACCCATAACAGAGAAATCTCTGAACTGGTAGCAACATCATCAAGAGGAAGGATACATCTTTGATTTTGAAAATGAGATGTACGGGTAAAATTCATCTTCTCTTGATAGTTATTAAAAGTTATTATACCTAAATCTGTATGTTCTTAAAAATTGAAAGGTAAATAATCCTACAATTGTATGTTTATGATGATAAAATGCAAAAAGTAAACTTTAGTAAAGTTTGTTGAAACACGTATTTTTTTATCTCATTAGGTACTATCGATCAGATGTTGACGTACTCCATTGGTGCTCTCTACAGTTCAGAAATGAGTTTCTTGCCACACGACTATTGCTTCTGTATGCATGGCCATATACAGAAGCAAGTTTATACCACCCAAAGTCTATAGCACTTGTACCTAGCCATGGATACAATACAACAACCAAGGTTAGTATACAGTGGTTAGACTACATGCAACAGTCTGAAGGTGTTATTATCCAACATACCTTTAACAGTGGCGAGGTTAAAATCTTAAATTATAGTGTTGACAGCTTCTTTAAGGAGTGTAACATTATATATGAATTTTGCAGGTGTAGTTTATGTTATGCCGCTAACACAATGAATGTTGTTCTAAATAGACCCATGCGGCCTGTTAGAAAACGTACATTGGACAAGCAACTTAAAGTAGAAGCTGAGGGATATATAAGGTTGTTTCAATCTAGGAACATGAACTTAACCATATGAAATCCACTGATACAAATTTAATTAATTTCTTTAAAGACCACACAATATTTTCTCGTCTGGATATATGGGATAGTTCCTATTGAAGTAGAGTCAACACTACTAGACTTTTGTAGGATGTGAAGGAAGGTGAAAAGTTCAAGTACGTTGACTTTACGCCTCTATATCTATGGATGAATAAGTACTGTGAGTATCCAATTGGCCATCCAATAATTATCACAACAAATATTTCAGATGTGCATAATAATTTTAGTTTCATTAAGTGCGAAATTCTAGCCTCGAGGAAACTTTATCATCCTGTTTTACCTTTGAGAAGTAATGGTAAATTGAATTTCTCTCTCTCTGTAACATGTTTTACCTTTGAGAAGTAATGGTAAATGGACTTTCTCTCTCTGTAACATGTTTTAATTTTGAGAAGTAATGGTAAATGGACGTTCTCTCTCTGTAACATGTTTTACTTTTGAGAAGTAATGGTAAATGGACTTTCCCTCATTGTAATATGTATGACAATTTAAGAATACCAACCACATGTAATCACTCGGATAACGATAGAGCATTTTTCAGCACAGGGGTTACCGAGGAGATGAAAAAAGCAGACGAGTGTGGTTGTAAGATAATACAAATTTATTAAATTTACCATTTCCCTGAAAGATCAACAAAACTGTTCAAAAACTATATAGACACATTTCTAAAAATAAACCAGGAACGTTCAGGATGGCCCTCTCACTCAATTACATTAGAGGCAAAACGGGTATTTATTGAACAGTATGCTGAAAAGGAAGGTTTGCAACTGGCCCTTGAAAACATAGAATTCAATCCAGGCAGAAGGTCAGTTGCAAAATTTTGTCTTAACTCTTTCTGGGGTAGTTGGGGTAAGTCTGAGACAGAATTAAACTGAAAGACGTAACATCAGTTAAACAGTGTTACTCTTTAATGAATGACAACATCAAAATTGTAACAGATGTTACATTAGTCAATGACAATGTTATTGGTCTTCATCGGATACATAAGCACGAGTATGTACCTCAGAAAGATCAAACAACTATCTTTCTAGGGGCTTTCACTACTTCTCACGTGCATCTG